GATCTTGACAATGATTAACAACGACTTGATGTGCTCACCTCACCTTGCACCATCAATTGTTCTTTTATGTCTATTTCCCGATTTTGTGGCTCTTAAGAGGCACAACATCCCATGCAGGCAGTTTTTGTTGACGTACCAAATGAACAGCTCAATGGATGCTAAAATGATTTTGTCTCACCAGACTATTATTTAGTTGGTTGGGAGCTCAGTGCCTTATTTATTTTCAATTTATAATCTCGTAGCTTTCTAGACTTTATTGGTCTAAAGTGTTGATAGGTGATTTAAAAAAACACACAAAATATTAAAAATTAGTTGCTGTATTTCTTACTATACGTGCCAAGATCTGACTGCCTTGTTTTTGAAATCTGGAGCACAGAAATCTGTTCCATATCAATGGTCTGAAAACCCCTCATGATCTTCTCATGACCAGATCTATTGGGCTTACATGTTCTTTTCAGCACAGTCCTTAAGCTCTTAGCCAAACAAGTTCCAAATACAGAAGAACCCACAATGAACTCCTCAACACACATCAGTAAATGTCAACCAGAGAATATGAGTTTTTTCCCCCAAATCTAACGAGAGCAGAATGGATACAGCTGTTCAAAGAGACCCAATACTTGCTTAGAGAGCTATCAACTATGTGGGATCCCTTTATGCAATAGTTACAATGGTGATACTCAGTGGTTTGGAAGCCACTTGTGGCTCTTTGACGTGCCGTCTGTGGCTCTTCTAAGCACCATTCCCAGTCTGGCACCTACCCCACGTTTCAGAAAAGTGGGCAAGGCTGGTGGGACTTTTGGTTGGCAAGTGGTTCCTAACAGCCACCGCCAGAGGAATGGCTAAGCTGCAAGTCTCCCTGAGATGAAAGGCTCATGCTGGGGGATGGGAGGAAATGTGGTTCTTTTGGTGGATGGTTACTGTGCTGTGTGGCTCTGCACAAGCCATGTTACAGAAAGGCAAGACGTGCTGCAGCATTCTGTTTAAACTGCACAGAGAACCTTTTTTCCCCCTAAGAAAATTAGTTAAGATTGTATGTAGTGATTTCCCCCCCCCCCCCCACATCTAATTCAATTACTGCCCTATCGCAAATTTAAGACAGCAGGAAGAGATGGGAGGAGAGTAAGGAACTTTGAATGAACAGTCTCCATTGGCCTAAAGAAAAGGGAAAGACATGGTAGAATATATATGCTCCATACCATTTATTAATGGAATCAGATGCTCCCTGTATACCAGTGCAACAAGTTACCATAAATATGAATAACAAGTTCTAAGACATATTATTGAAATTAATTTCCACAGGTGCAAGCAACTAGTGGCGCTCCAGCCTACTACAAGCACCTACTGGGTTTCCTATCAAGAAAAATACCCTAAAACTGAAAGGCTTGACATACAGGCATGGATCTTTGGTTACTATTGCTAAAAGGCCAACACTTTGTCTGGAAAGAAATATCTTAAAGACAGGAAGCTGCAAATATACTGAGGAAGCAGCTATAGAAGAATAGGTAAATATACTTGAACAATCAGGAACACACTATACCCCATTTCCCAGGTACATTGATTTATGTTATACACATACCTTACTATTAAATAAACACAATTATTGCAGTTTTTGTTTACAGTTAGCGAATGGCTTTAACAATAATGCACACTTTCACTAAAGTAGCACTCCTATTTGCAAGTCTGTTTCTGAGGTATCTTGATGTACCATAAGCGGTAGGAAAACATCAGTCATATCTGTGAAATGACTTATAGCCAGCGATTCCCAATGGAAAATATTGACTTGGAAACCACTATTTGCTATGAAAAGAATTTCTTACCAGAAAATACAAAGCCTATTCCTCTTAAGCTTCCACCCCAAAGAAAGTCATATTAGTCTTCTTTAAATGTATCTGATGCTTTACGGTAGCTGATATTGTAACGTACAAAATATAGATTTTGCTGTTATTTCATACTAAGAAACATTTTAGTTATATTTTTCCAAACTTCTCCTTTAAAAAGGAATCAACACTTTTTCTTGCAAAAATAGACAGTACTGAGAGTCTCTTCCCCATATAAATTATCAAGTGTTTCATCTTAAGCTCTTCTTTAACAAGCATGGTGTGAATAGTAGCTAATCTTCCAAACACAGTTTTTTTAGCATGTTAAAGAAATGTCTGGTGGTGGCTAGCAGCTCAAAAGACGATTTCACATGGCAGCTTAAATTCTTTGTCAAACTTTTCTTAAGGTGATATTCAAAGCATATTCTGTATGTCTTCACATAATGTTCTCAGTTGCAATGGAATTTTTCCCCTGTAAGAACTTCCTTATGCCCCATGTACATTGGGATCTACAGATTTCAGAGTTGGTAACATATTTTGTTTAAAGGAATATAGTAGCATTAATGACCAAGTTCTTAGTTTAAAGTGTTGTACCTGCTTCTCTGTAACCATCTCTTCACTACTGTATTGGTCCAAAAGGAAGACTAGTCCACTCCCCTACCCCAGTTGTGCACCATCAAGAAAAAGAGGGGTCCTCTTAAATTTGCAAAAAATATACATGTACTTTGTGTATAACATGGGGGGTCATATTCCATTCGGGGTAGTCTTCCTTTTGAGTAAATACAGGAATTTTCATATGCATAATGGATATACTGAAGGCAAATGCAGCCATCAAATAAAAATTGTACAAAATATTGACTGGGTATCCTAAGGCATTAATAACCAAGCTATAAAAAAACACAGAATGAAACTGCAGTATTTCCTGGACTCACCTCCTGTTACAAAATGGAGGTGCCAGTATCTCTAGCTAGGTGATGTGACAGCTTCCAAATCAACAACTGGCAATAAGCTGAACTTACCCAGAGATATCAAACCATTTTCTTCCTTTCTGAAGAGACTTTTGTTGTACCGGGGGGGGGGGGGGGGGGGGGCTGTTCCCTTCCAGTTTTTCAGTGTGTTCAAGATTTGGAACTGCTCCTAAATTTCCATCTTGCCATCTCTTTTTATTCTCGGGGAAAATTACCAGATGACATTTGGACAGCACGGGAAAGCTGCCACTCTGGGGCAGTTGGGATGCCCACTTGTTAATTACGGGAACACTTATGGATTGTGGGATTGCATCCCCCCCTATCTCAGACTCACTCAAGTGCCAGTTTACCCATGCTATTGTACTGGCAAAACCATTAGTTTGGGTTAAAGCACTTGAAGGTAATACATGATCCTATAACCTATCCCTGATTCTCTAACCATGGTTAAGAGACAGGGATGAATGTAGTTTCTGCTGGTTCTATATGATTAAAATATCCTATAAGAGGGGGGCAAGAAGTGTCTCAGTATTTATAGTACCTTCTTTAAAGGAAGGCTTAGATCATAATTTATTTTCTACTTATAGGTGTAATAAGAAATGAACATGTAGCATATAACTGCTGTATGCAACACTCTACAAATAACAGCAGTTTGGTGTTACCTTACTGCTCCGCATCATCGAATGAATTGAGCCCTGGGTTATGGGACCCAGAAGGCACAATTCACCTGCACACTGAGGAGAGGATCATCCTCTGTTTTGGGACTCTCATTTCAGCTGCTAAAGATGAAACCCTGGGTGCACAGCAGGCAATTCAGCCCTGCAGTGCAAGTATTCTTGTGAACCCTGCACCAAGGAACGCTACTCTGCTGGGCAACAGTCAATTTGTCAAACTCTTGCTGCTGAAGCAGGGAATTAGAAACAGGGATACTTGACTACATTTGTTCTTTTAAGATATGATTGTAAAAACATACCCGACTTGAAAACTGTACTTAATTACCCTTGCAGTAGCTGTTGCGTGCACAAATTATGCCAGCTGAGGATACTCCAGTTATTTACCTTGAGCTAATAGGACATAGAATTTGTATCATGAAAGGGAGTGCTAGAAGCAATATTTACATCAATGACTGAGATTAAAGTCAGGCTCTGACGTAATGATGGTTTATCAGGAACATTTTAGGATACTAAGAACACGATAATCCCTTCTTTTCACGGGTTGTTTTAAGCACAGTGCAACATTGTATCTATACAGTTGCTAACAATGGTCAACACTAACCAGAATATCCACAGTATGAAGCTAGGTTTGAAAGCTCCAGTTATGAGGAAATCAGCATTATCCATGGTCTACATTCATGCAAATGTGGTGCTAGCACCATGGTTACAGCAAACCATACATTCAAGGTGAAGGAAAAGAGGCAGAGACAGGGCGCTCACACGTTTATGGTACACTCCGGTTCTCCTAATCATAGCTGGAAAATTAGGAACATAATGGATGTAAAAGTTCACAGAGAGGCAGTTTGGTGTAGTGGTTAGGAGCGCGGACTCTAATCTGGGAGAACCGGGTTTGATTCCCCACTCCTCCACATGCAGCTGCTGGTGTGACCTTGGGTCAGTCGTAAATTCTTTCAGAGCTGTTCTCTCAAGGGCAGTTCTCAAGAGAGCTCCCTCAGCCCCACCTACCTCACAGGGTGTCTGTTGTGGGGAGGGGAAGGGAAAGGAGATTGTAAGCCACTCTGAGACTCCTTCTGGTAAGGCAGAGATGTTCTGCCAAGCTTATCATTGAGGACAGCAATGGTTTGGCCAGTTAGTTGCCTCTCATTCCCCCCCCCCCCCGCCATCAGCAGTCAGATTTGTACTGTGACACAATACAGGTTTTATGCTTCTTGTGTACCATCTGTTTTAAGAATTCTGTATTTTATTTATATACTTAGATTAATGGACTGTTTTTATGTTTCTTGATGTAAAATGCTGTATACTGCTCTGAGCCTGCTTTGCAGGGACAGCAGCACAGAAGTCTAAATCATCATCATCATCATCATCAATTTTTCCAAAACCACACCAACCTTCCTCTTTATCAGATCATCAAAACAGTAACAAGGTCTGAGAAAGTTTCAAAATGCTAATAAAATCTTGGCATTTTGAAGCTCCATCTTTGAAAACTACAGGGGCATGGAAGTTTCATCTAGGGAACACTGACTGGAGAGTGGCTGAAAACGTACCTTTTGCATCATCAGAGCCTGAAGCCAACAGTTTAGGATCCATCAGATTAAAATCCACACTCCAGCACCTTTTCTCATGCTCCTGTTTTGAGAAAGAGGAACAGAAATGGAACATAGCAAGTTACTACTCGGATATAAAGTAAGCAGTAAAAAAGGATGTAGTGTGTGGTTTAAATGAACGTGGGCAAAGTTTTACTATGCTTAAAGACACTCAGATGGAATTTTTCTCCCACATAAAAATTCCTTGCGTCTAGAAAGCTAGATCAAGTTTTCATTTCTTTTATAAACACATCCTACTGCTTATTTGCATCTTGAAAGATGGGGAGCTCAGATTATTCATGTTAAGAGAATACATGCTTTGGCTTGTTACTGCTCCCTAGTGGGCTCTCTCTCTCTCTTTTAAATAGGAAAATAAACAGATATCTAGAGTTAGGCCTAAATGAATACAATACTCTTTGTAGCCATTTAAAGCAATGTTTTCTTCACAGATAACTAGCATGCTCAAGAATCAGAACCCTACTTTCACTAACAAATGCATTTCTGCAACTCTATTCTCTGAAGAGAGCACATATTTAAGTCAACTTAGGTGGAAAACATTTTAGTAAATGCGTTTTGATTAGAGCGAGACAATTTAAAATGCCAGGGGAAAGGAGGAGAAACGGCTGGGGCAAGGTGGTGAAAGAACTCAAAACGGCAATGCAAAACACATTCTCGTTCCATTGTACGCCATCTATTTTAAACGAAAGGGAGCACTGAAGCAAGGAACTCCAGGTTGGACCTTAATCACAAACACATTTTCTCATGAGGGAAAACTCCAGCCAGGAATTTCAAGAAACAGGCTAGCATAAATTCCCAAAACTACACCCATGTAAGCACACCAGACAGCTGCTTGCCCTCTTTCATCTCCTGTCCCTTATCAATCCCAGTTTTGTCTTGGCCAGTACTAACATTAAACAGCTAGAATTCATTCATTTACATAGCAGCAACTGGTTTACTGAAAATACATGGATGCACACACCTGAAAAGCAATTAATTTCCTCATAATTCTCGAGCTTTCCCACCTCTTTATGATAAGAGTCAATATTTACTGGTAAGTTGGTTACCTGGTTATTGAAGGAAGCCACTTGGTGGTTCTGCTGGTGAGTGCCCCCCCCAAAAAACACTGAATCAGAAGGCTTGTTTTTGACATTCACCATGGCTAATGATGCATGTGAGAATAAAACGTGACCATTAACTGAAAGCACCTTCCTCCCCTTGAAACTTATCTCTCTAACAGAGCACATTCAGGGCATGACAGTTATGGCCTTGATTCTAGCTAATCTGAGCTCCTTGCATCCAAAAGCTCAGACAGAGCTTATTTCTGGATATAGAAGCATTTCCCAACTCAATGAGTAAAAAAGACATAGGCATCCTTTGGCATGCAGTCAAATACTGAAACATCTGAACATAAGATCTCTCTGGCCCTAATGGAAAGATTGTTAGGGATCTGGAACAATATGGACTTAGCTAATACTAACATTCCCTGCCCTAGAGAATAAAATGAACTACAGTTAACGGTAAAAGACAGGATATACTACCCTGTCTCATTAGACACCACCTCTGACACCTTGCATTTCTGGTATTTCCCAACAATTATACAGGGAGGCCAATGAAACCCATCATTCAAGACTAAAGAAAGTCAAACAATTTTGACAGGTACAGCTGCTTCTAACAACTTCTAATGAAATGGAAACAACCCCCATTTCCTCGATAGAACGGGACTTGCTGCTCTGACAATCACTATTCCAGTTAATTTTGCATTCTGCTTCTACAACTCTTGGTCATCATTTTTAGACTAACCAATTAGTATTATCGGCAGCAATATTTACAAAGAAACTTTGACACAGATGAAATGAGGAAGATTTGGCTAGTTCCTTCCTTTGAAAGAACCATGGTCTAAGGCAAAGTATCCCAGTGTTTATTGGAAACCAAAAAGCATCACATCTAGGACAACACATTTTACCTGGTAGACTTTTGACCGCTGCCCTGTGAACCCATCCCACAAGATGACGGTACCTTCATAGTCACTGCTGGCCAACAGGTTTTTGTGGTAACTACTCCAGCTGATACAGCTGTAAGAGAGAAATAATCCCCAGAATAAGAGAGAATCCTCCTTTGAACTGCAATTGACAGCATGACAAGATGAGACTCGCAATAACTCAGGTAATCATTCAGCAGTGGCACCTGTTACCTAGGTAAATTGATTAGGTGAGAAATACATGTCTGCAATTATTTTGTGGACCAAAATGGCACTCTGTGCTGGAATAATGCCTTTGTTTCTTGCAATTTTCTTTGAAGGCATACATATCTGCTCTTGGGTTCCTAAAGTATATTATGCGCTCAAACTTGCCTCAACTGAGAAACCATTCATTAGCATATGAATTCAGGTTCACAAATGTAAACAGAAGGCCTTGATTGAAAGATGTTCTTTGTCCCCAGTAATAGCTTGAGACTGACGTTCAAGCTTACTCTGTTCATCAGTGGTGGTTTTATGAGCCTCTGTTTCTGTGTTAGACTGTGAGGGAATAGGTTTCTTCTTTAAACACAGCACCAAGTCTCATTTGCTGCACTATCAGCCTAGTAAACTGAAATGCATCTTGGTCTCACGGAGGAACCAACTTCCCTGCCATGAGGTAAATATATTAGATGCACTGGCAGCCAGGGTTATGGAACATTGGCTTTAACAGTTGCACCAGATGATTCAAGATGGCTAGATCATACTGTGTTGTAAGGCAAGGAATAGTTGGGAGAGGAGTGTATTGGAAGATCCCAACACTGAATACCATGGAACACAAAAGATACAATGAAGTTTTCAGCTGGATTATCTGACTGCAGAAGACTCGGTAGAAAAGACTGAATGGTCTCTGCTCTCTATTTTTGTAAAAAGGAGGTAAGAAATAGCATTTCACGTGTTATACTAGTATTAAATATCTTTTCCTTGTGTGTGGATCTAAGTACCACAATCTGCAATAAGGAAAGAAGCAACATCACATCTGCCATAGCCTGATCTGCTAAGGGATCTTTTATTAGCAGATTGCCAAGGTATGGGTAAATGTGCATTTTCAGCATCACGTTTTCCCCACTCCACATCACCTATATTATCAGGGATGTGGACTACTGCAGTACTAAAAATTTTTTTACATCGTAGCTGAGCACTCTATCTGGATTCTGAATATTGCAGATTGGGCCTAAACAGGTAAAATATTCCACTATTCAGGTATTTTACATTAGCTTATATTTTCTTTCTAAAATTTTGTAGTTTTTGAGTTTATAATTGTTCAGTTATTTGTTTATGTTTTTAGATCCATGGGCATATGAAATAAAACATACTTGGATGGGTGACCCATGTTGCATTTTATTTATTCCTACTTACTCAATGAGTTAACATCTCTGTGTGAGTAAGGTAGTTATTTGATTTTCAATTGTTTCAAATATTAACAATTTCCTTTACAATTTTTGTTTGATTGACAGTTATAGAGATAATTTAATTTTCTCTCTATTTCCCCCTACCATTTTAGGTCTACACTGTCTTCGATAATTGTTTTTAGGTCCATTCTGTACATGATGAGTTTGAAATATATTGATGTTTAACTTATGGAGTGCTCAGGTTGTATTTTACCACTGAGGAAGGCTGAAACACATCTGTATTTGCACACATTTCATACCTTTTAACCTGTATTTATATATCCTGTATTTATATATTCTGACATTTGTTCTGATATGAGGTATAGGTACTTATATACTGAACCACAGATACAGAACCGTAGATTTATTATTTGACTAACCTCCTGGAAGAGGCACTGTGGACTACCTTGGAGTTGTTGCTTCTGTCTTAGTTGCCATCTTGTTCTGATTGTTCTAAATTTGGTTTTAATTATATCTTTATTCCTATTTTATTGTATATTTTATATGTTGGGAGCCGCCCAGAGCCCACTTGTGGGACAGGGTAGGATATAAGCTTAAATAAATAAATAATATGTGATTTTTATAGTGATTTTAATATTTTACGTGTAATTAAAATATACTGTATATTTTTATATTAGCACTGTGTGTTTAGCTATATTTGATTATTGTTTTCACCCTAACCTCTTTGGTTACTTTTAGAGCTAATCCAACCAATCCAAGAGGACAGGCTGCCTCTTCTGGCCTTAGTTTCAATCACAAGAATGCTAGTTCTTATTCTGTGATTGATGGCTGACTTAGTTCTGGGAAAGGAAAAGGAGCTAGAATGGGAATGTTTTGAAGAACCTCTTCATATGTAGCTAATTTAGCTGGCTGATGCACCCCAAGAGTATCAACCCATGATGTGAAGGCTCTGCCAAAGCATAATCTCACTACAAAAGCCACAGGGGCAGTGATACTTACAAGTAAATATATATTGGTTTTAAATAGCGGTTTTTATGTATTTTATGGTTTTTATTATTATTTAAATTGAAAGCTGCCTCAACTTCCTGTAGAGTAGGAAGCTGGCTAGTAAGTATGTTAAATTTTTTAAAATTTAAAATATGTTTCTTTAGAGGAAATTCTGAATTCTTAGTTGGGAGGAGATACAATTTTCTTAAGGAGATGCTATAGCTGTTGCTCTAGAAGTAATACATGACTGTAGCTTGTCCTGAGAAAAATAATAGACTATCAACATAGATTTACCCATTCTCAAGGATTTAGGGGATCTGCCCACTCAATCTATTACAATTTGCTCAAACGAAAATTTCATAGAGTAGTAACATCGCTCAAATATGGCCAATGATTTAGTGAGAATGCAGCTCCTAAACACATTGTACTCCCACTCTCTAATCCATATCCCAGATGAATGGTCAGATCATGCCAAGAATACTCATTGGTCCAGTTAACATGTTTCAAGACATTTCAACAGAGAATCTGAACCTTCAAACTAAAGAATGAGTAATTAAATTTGAAGGAATTTCTTTCCTACTTGCTAGAACGAGCTGCAAAGAGAAACAATTGGTAAAATGAGCTGCACAGCAAAACAAAAACTGAGGGGAGGCCACAGCTCGGTGACAGAGCACATGGTTTGCTTACAGAATGTCTCAGGTTCCTCCCAGGCACTTTGGTTAAAAGACTCTCTAGCAACAGGCCTTGTGTAGACCTTTGCACAAGATCTTTGACAACCATCACCAGTCAGCGTAGACAGTATTGGGCTAAGACACACCAGCCTGATCTGATGCTGATTAAGGCAGCTTCCTATGTTCAGATGGTTGTATCACAGCCTTTGAGATCATCTTCCTTCACCAACCAGATCAGCAAGAAAAGAACACAGAAAGGGCTGTACACAGAGCTTGCCTGCCAAATTACATCCTGAGGAACTGCAACCCAGCAGAGAGAACAGCTGCAAACCTCAACGTAAGGGGAAGGAAACTGGCAGGAGTCTAAGAACTGGGACTGGCAGTGAGAGACACGCTGGGCTCCAACTCTTAGCAGCCTTTTACACAAGCTTAGTGTAGCTAAGGTGCAAATGCTCAGGTGAGGCAAGACAACAGCCAAAGTGGCGAATGAAAAATGTTAGAGTCTGTAATCACTAAGCGGCCCATTAACACCTGGTTAAGTTTCTTCACACACCATAAACCTTTTAATACTATTTTTATTTCAAATCAAATTATCACAGGACAGGGCAATCTTCTTCCTATTACTTGATCTTTATCACTTTCAACCACCTATAAATATTCAGTAATGAAAAAGAGTCACCATTTAAGTACAGTTCCATATTAGAAACCACGTTTTCCCCCCCAGAGAATATACTGAGCGGTTTAAGTCAACAGACTGGCTCATGCATTTCATGCTGTTTATGCATACAAGTGTCGTCCTATTTACATAACTTTTCTTATTCTGGGGCTTATAAATATGAAGAAATGATTCAATGTTCCTTACAAATCACCTTCAGCAGACACAGTAAGGATGATTTCCCCTACCCCCAAGTTACGTTGAACATCACTGGTCAAACTTTTACCACCACACAAAAAGGACATCAAACATGAGTAGTTGATAATCTGACTATACCATAACTACCTAAAGGCACCACAAAATAAACAGACTGCATTCTCAAAAATAAAAAAAAATCTTCTACTAGGAAGACTGTATCTAGACAGAAGTTAGTGCATGCCTATTCTATCCAATCTCTATTCTTCTTATTCCAGTGAGTGACAGCATCTCCCTTACTTCTGCCCATACTATCAGTATAGTTTCCAAACTTGTTAGAATACTAACCAGTAGTAATGATTTCCGAACTTGTTAGAATACTAGCCAGTAGTAATGAGGCTTACTGGGAACCAACTCAAAATGGTGGAGCTGTCTTCTCAAGTTGGATACTCAATTCTTTCCACTAAGAGCACTGTAGTTGCTCATTTGTTGCAGATCTCTTTCCTCAAGCAACACTTGTTCAAGAGATACCTATATTTCCCCCAACTCTTGGAAAGCTATAAACTATTGCTGGGAAACAGCAATTATTCTGTTTACTGCTAGTAGGGCCAGCGCACATTTAGAATAATTTCTAGAATATGGTTGCCACAAGCGCCTACTGGTTGGTGTCCGATGTCCCTTCCCATGCCTATACCATACTGTGACATTAACTCCTCATTCATCGTACAGAGAAGAGAGTCTTCAAGAAAGTAAAATGCCTAGTATCAAGGCAGAACAAAGCTTGAGTCCAGTGGCACTTTAAGACCAACAAAATTTTATTCAAGGTACAATATGCTTTTGTGTGCAAGCACACTTCTTCAGATACAAGTGAAACAGAAATTCTGTTTTGCTGCTTCAGACCAACACAGCTACCCACCTGATAGTATTAAGGCAGTTTCAACATCCAGCAGCAAGTCCTCAGGCAGTGCTGAGTTAACTCTGTCAAGACTTCATTAACAAAGGGCTTCTACTGACTGCCTACCCCAGCCTGCACTCCTAAAAAGGCACCTATCCAATTTTTAAACTCCAGCAACAAAATTCCAATTTTTTAAAAAAACACTGTCTGTTAGAGATAAATTTGAATGCCTAGGAAGAGAAACGGATCATTTTTAAAAATAAAATCAACTATGGCAAATGTGTAAGGTGGGCCTTCATCAAG